TTGTACGGCCGCACCTCCCAATCCTGGCGAGCAGACATGGGGGGGTACGATGACGCACGGAGCGATCACGTGTCCCACAAGTTCCTGGCACAAATGGGAGTGAAAAGGGGATTTGGTGAGGATAATAAACGGAGAATTATTTCATCAACATCTACCAGTCTGTGGTCCGATTTTTGCAACTTGTGTTTCACGTTTTGTTTTTTCCTGGTGTTCAAACTTTAAGATCCGACCATAAGGTTTCTGAATACTACCATTTCAATGCGCCAGTATTCAGAGCTGATTTAATTTAGTAAGTGTTACTGGCACCAACTCTTTGCTGTTAGATCGGGACCGTTAGCCACAACCCCATTTCTGTTTATCACTGTTGCACACTGTCCACCCGCGCAGTTCCATATATGCAATTTATAAAGCAAGCTAAATGTATGTGACCTTGAAACAACTTAGATAACAATTGCGTATGGATGCTTAATGTAAAAAACGTTGATGGCATCAGAATTTACAGTTTGAATATTCGGAGTTCTGTCACGGCAGCATTTCTCAAATGAACAACTCGTATCTATTTAAATCTGCAATTATTACAACCATTTGGGATAGTACCGACTCAAAAATTAATAAACCTTCTTAAGTCCTGAATTCAGATATCGTACATTGCACGCAATAATTTTACTACTTGCATATAATGAGTAGCAATTAGTTTTAGTGAATCGGTTTGATAAGCAGAACTGTCAACGCTCTCTGCACCCAAACCCTTTGAAATCATTTTGCCTTAAGTTACTCTTCGATCCACACGATTCCTCCTCATACATAGATTGCGACGATTGAAACAGCGATGTTTCATCAGGCTTCCTCCATTCTAGATAGACAACTTCAGTAGCAATCAACCCAATAAGCCCAGTAAACCCAATTAAATAGGTGACTGGACTAGAGTAGGGTTATACCCGGCCTATTACACCTTACCAACCAACCACCATGATTGGAAACAATAGAGGCTTCAAACACGTGTTAAAATGCTTTCCAAAACACCCACAAATCACTTTTGAGTAGAGACCCACCCACATAAATTATTATCCATCACATAGGGGTGGCTTTAATCACGTGTAAAACAAGGATGACCATATATATACATGTACATAGGGGGGGGGGGGGGGG